CTAGGGTCCAGGGAAGTGGGGCCGAGGAATAGGATTTATGCTGAGGCGGTGGATAGCGTTTTGGATGCTGCGGCAAAGGAGTTCGCCGGAACGGAGGAGATGATCACGCAAGGTGAGAAGTTGTTTAGAAAATATCCTTAGGAGATATTCAATTTGCTTGTTCTGCCGCCAAGTTTCCCATATGGCGGAATGGAGAACCCGAGGATTGTGTTTTTAACTCCAACTGTGATTAAAGGAGACGCCAGTGGGGCGCAGGTGGTGGCTCATGAGCTGGCTCATAGTTGGGCCGGGAAATTTATCACTAATCGGAACAACGAGCACTTCTGGTTGAATGAGGTAATACTCTGTTATTTATACTATTCCTTTTTGAAAGTGTGCAGGATTATGTTTAAGTCGAACTTATAAAAGCGAACATTTTAGGTAGACGAAATAGTTATCAATAGAAAATACAAGCAAAATATCTAAATAATATGATAATTTGAAATTTTAAAAGGACGACTCCGCCAGTCCCCCTCCGTCTATCTCTGCTTTCATATTGCATGTGCATGTGCTTTGCTGTAAAGAATGGTTTGTGTTTTATTGATCAATAGAATGATATATGGTTTGATAAGCCGGGATTTGTCGATTTTGTGATGTCTTTTGACCTTTGAAAATTAGGTAATTTCGCTTTGATTCTTTTGTGGTCATAGGGATTTACAACATATGCAGAAAGGAGAATTGTTGAGGCTGTGCTGGGTGAAGACAGAGCTATACTGAACACTGGAATTGGTGGAAGGGTTTAAAGGAGGAAGCGGAGAAATTTAAGGATAATTTGGAATTCACCAAGCTCAAAAACTGTCAGGAAGGAGTTGATCCTGATGCGATATATTCTGAAATTCCATACGAGAAAGGTTTTCAGTTCCTGTGGCTCATTGAACGTCAGGTATCTTGAAGCCTTTTTCTTTTAAAGGCTTCACTTTGTTTGTAAATAATGTTGGTGCATTATTATGTGTTTTTACTGGAATGCTTGGATTGGAAGACCAGCCTTTGATTGCTTTATCCTGGATTATATTGATGAATTCAAGTTCCGATCAATTGACACCAAGACATTTCTTGAATTCCTTAAAGTTGAAGTCCCTGGAATAGAGAAAGATATAGACCTGGTGTTGTGGACTGAGGGAACTGGTATCCCACCAGATGCACACGAACCAGTATCTGATCTATACACTAAAATTTTGTCATTGGCAAATGAATTCGAACATGGGAGGATTCCGAGGGAAGATGAAGTTGCAGATTGGAAAGGGCAGGAATGGGAGATCTACTTAGAGAATCTGCCTAGAGTTCTCGAGGCTTCTCAGGTAATTCTTGTTTTCTCTTAAAGCGACCATTTCTTCTCTTAAAGCGATCCTGTGTACTTCCTTAGATACATATAAAGATGAAATTTTAATTGGCTGATGCAATTAAACGACTATGCTAGATGTGTGCTGTTGTGGGCATGGAAGGAAAATTAGGTTAGAATGTCAAGAAAAAAGTTGTGGGTTGAATCCATTGAAGATTAATAAGAAGTGACATATATGAATTGATTCGACTTGTAAGGAGAAGACTGTAAGAATTGCCTCCACGGTATTGGATGGAGGATATCATGTCAACGAACAATTATGCAAGAGGAACTGTTTTTTTTTTTTTTTGGGAACTCATTCTGATATAGTTCGAAAAGAACCAAGCAGCACAACATATGCTATTAGCCGCCTAACCTATTTATTAGGAAGGGACTAAATGTCACCTAGTCCTCTTATCTTTTTTTTTATTCAATCACTGAAAACATGTAGCGAGATTAAAACATATTTTAGTTATTTTTCTTTTTGTGAAACTGGGCTTCTTTGCTTAAGAATAATGCACCCAGTTATGGGTTTGCAAGTACATATATTGATGTCGATTAGCTGCCACCAGAAACTTTCCAAGTTGCTTAGTTTCTTTGTCTGCATTGAGGGAACAATATCCTTTTGTAGAGGACGGATTTGCTTATGTTGTAAAATATAAAACTTTACCGTTTTCTGCGATGCTATGCTTTTTCTAAGGTTTTAGAGTTTTTGGATGTAATGCACTTTATTTTCCCGGGTAAACTTAACTTGAGGCTGTTCTTAGATATGAAATTTTAATGTGTTAGTAATGTTCAATCCCACATAGTATTAGAAACACTATTGGGAATGGATATTTAAGGTTTGAATTCTCCACTTCCTTGTTGAGTGAAAGAGAACAAGGGTAACTCACACACACCTCCGCCGTCGTTCGGCTTGGCTCGTGGTCGTGGACGTCCGTGCGGATATTATCTTTTTAAAGAAAATTCTTGTGGAATCTCTTTTTGAAAGAAACAAATGAAAAAATGTGAAAGATTTCACCTGATATTTATAGACTGCTGATGACTGTTTAAATTTAAATAATAACAGTTGATTTTTGAGTTGTCTGGAATTAAACAGTTTTTTCCTAAATTAAATCAAAACGTTAAGATGTATCTGGACTGATTTCCAACTTTGTACAAAGAGGACAAGTTGAATAATGATTTAATTTCGGGAGTTATAACAGCTGAATAATGATACAATGAACCTGAACGATTTTTTATGGACGATTTTAATCTTATATCTAGCCTATAAATAGAGAGGTAGATTCAGTTTCTCAACTCACTCTCAACATTCAGAATTCACTCTCCAAGTGTTTTCTAAAGTTGTTCTCTGTGTGCTTTCTTATCAGAAGTGCAATACCACTAGTAGTCCACTCTGGTTTTAGGTGTACGAAATTTGAAGCGACCGTGTTAACCTCGGGGGACGGACCGCCTACTGCAACGATTATACACATCGGAGAGAATTCGTTTCTAAGGCAGTGATTTTACCACGACACGGTTTACGAATCTGTTTCTTTTAAATTACTGTCTATCTTTCATGTCAGTGCTATCGGTGTGATTTTGCAGTCCATATTTCCAATATTATGCAGACCTTTAGATTTGTCCCGAACCTTTAAATTTTACTCGATCTTGTAAGAGAATATATCTTTTCCTTTTTCTTGTTTGGTAGTGTCTAGTGTGTGGGTCAGTTTAACCAGAGCTCGTTGGTTGGTCTCTTCACTCGATAATTTCCCTTGGTTGAAACTAATCATTGTATTTTGTTGTCCATTCAATATCTGGTATACGATATTATTCATGCAGGTCTTAGCCTTGGACGAACGCTACAGGCTATCAGAATCAAAGGATTATGAAATAAAAGTGGCTTTTCTTCAACTGGCAATCTTATCCAAGTGCAGAAAATTCTATGGTGAGGTGGAGAAAACTTTGAAGGAAGTTGGGAGGATGAAGTACCTTCGCCCACTTTACAGGGCTCTCGTACAAGGCGACGGGAAAGAGGAAGAGAAGATTTTGGCCAAACGAGTGTTCTCAAGAGGCTCGTGAGTGCTATCACCCGATAGCTCGAGGAGTTGTCAAGTCGATCCTTGCCAAGCACATCTAAAATGGTGCATTGTAATAAATGGTACCAAAGACTATCCACCCCTAATGCCCCAGAATAGAGATTTAGGTTACAAAGGATGGAAAAAGTGAGAATGAAAAATTTGATAATCAAATGGTTAAGATACATAATCAGTTTTCTACTTTGTAGCTTAACTATTAGGTTAACAAATTTTTCGTTCCCTCTCCTTTCCATCCTTATACCAAGCTTGGTGAACTATTACCATTCATACTGATTTTGTTGATAGATGTTTTGGATGATGTATGCTAAATATCTTATGCAGTTATGCTTAAAGTTCACTCCTTTTTTTTTCTCTTTCAACACCTGTGAAATATTGTTTTTGTTAAATTTAGTAAACCATCAAACGCAATTTAATAAACATAATTAGCAAATACTTAATAAGAAATAAAATCTTTTTCATGATAGAAGATTAAAAACAATGCCAATATTAACCATATTAAAGAATGGCTTAAATATACAAAATGTATCCAACTTATGCTTGTTTTTCCAGTTTAGTTCCTAATGTTTATTTCATTTTAGTTTGGTGCCTAATGTTTCATACTGTTACTCAAAATGGGTCAAGCCGTGATGAATTGTTAGTTTCCTTCGTTAAGTGATACATGTCACAATTTCGTAATTTTGAAATTTATTTTTAAAGAAAATATTAAAAATATTATTATATTTACCCTTATTCCTAAATTACAAAAAAGCCTCAAAATTCATAAAATCCTAACACTAAGCCGCCCTCTCTGGCCACGACCGCCGCCGCCAACGTAGTTCTTGTCATCATCCTAGTTATAAGTCGTCGTAGTTGTTGTCGAAATCGTTTGGGATTGCGATTTTCATCATAGCTCGCGGGGTATAAAACGTCAACTTGCAATTGATTGGTCATTGATCAATCATGATTTCATAGGGATTTTGGTCCGGAGGGGGGTTTTGGTCGCCGGAGGGGGGTGAGGTCGGGTGGAGCTTCGTCGACGGTAAAGGGAGAGAGTCGACGTGTGTTTAGAGGTTGAAATAAAAGGTTTTTAAAGTTTTAGGGTTATTTCAAAATTAATGTGTTTTATTTTTTTAAAAATATATAATTTTATTTTTTTTATTTTATATAAATTTTTTAAAATTATCATATTGTAATACGTGTCACTTTATAGAGAAAACTAACGGTCTGTCACGGCTTGACCATTTTGAGTAACATAATGAAACGTTAGACACCAAACTGAAACGAAACAAACATTAGACGCTAAACTAAAAAAATGAACATAAATTAATCACATTTTGTATATTTAAGCCTTGAAGAATTAAAACGTTCAATCTTTTTATCTCAAGTTAATTTGATAAAAATATATTTTAATGGTTATCCTTTAAACCTTTAATTACTATTATTATTATATCAAAAAGTTTATTAAATCAAATTCATGCACTTTTTGTATTTAATTGAATTTGATGAAAATAATATACCAAATATGAAAAAAATATATATGTTTATAAAGTAACAGTCGCATGATAAAATGGCAAAGCCAGAGGAAGTACCAGTTCGTCTAAAAAAAACGAAGACAATGTGGCGCTCAATTCGCCAACTACCTTCGTTCTCCGTCCGTTCAACCCGCACCCAATCGCTGCCTTACTCTTCCTTCCTCTCCCTCTCTCCCTTTCTCTCTAAATCCCAACCCTCCGCTTTCTTCTTCGCTACCTCTAAAACCCTACGCTCAGTCGCCACTTCATCACCCTCCACCACCATCTTATGGTCTTTCAGCGGCGTCATCAACGCCAGCCGAAGTATCACCTCCAGATGCATTTCATCGTTCTCGACTCAGCAACCGGAAATGGTGGTTGATTGGAACGACGCGGTTTCTTGCCCGGAAGTCGGCGATGATGGAGCGGTGGAAGAAGGCGCTAAACGTTCTATTCCAGTTCGAGCTTATTTTTTTTCTACCTGGTTTTTGTTAATTCATTTTGCTTTTTCTTTTCAATTGATTATTGAGCTTTAATTTAAATCATCAGACTAATCAAAGCTTCAATTAAATGATTTCCCCCCTTTTGGGTGTAGTGTGGATTTGAGAGGATTGATGGAGCAGAACAAGCAGAATATTATACCGCCGACGTCACGAATGACTAACTATGTTGTTCTGAAGTTTGGTGATCTTTCTTGTTCCCCTGTAAGTTAATTGTAACAAATTTATTCGGTTATTAAGAGCTAAGATCAATTACTCTAATCAGTTACAATTATGTTTTATGATGAATTGATGATCGCTTTTCCTTAAAAAATTCTTTCTGATAAGTGATGGAGGTTTTGTTTCTTATATAATATTTATACATATCATCCACATAACTGTTGTAATCAGAGGAAAAGAGAAGCTAATTAGGCAAAGATGGGGGGTTCCTATGAACCATCAATGAACATTCAAATGAGATTATTCTTGAGTTTAACACTTGAACTTCAAAGTTTATTCTGATATGTATTATTGCTGTATATTTTTATTTAAACGTGTTTAACTGCTTATTTATTTGGTGTCAGGAGGGTTAGGATGCTGTTGTTTTCACTACGCTGCTACTAGAGATGGGTATAGGGTTTTTGGCTGACCCAAAATCTAAAGCTTCTACCTGAACCCGACATGACATTTGGTGATTTTCACCTGACCTGCCGACCCGAATTTTGGGATTAAACCCCCCTTCCCCGACCTAAACAAATAAAAAGGTTCTTCATTTTTTATTCAAGAAATAGGGGATAATAGAATATATACATATAGAAAGGTCACTATAATAATTATCCCTATTTCTCCCTTTTTTTATTCTGTAAAAATAGGGAGGTAACTGAAAAAATGGAGAGGGATAATATAGTAATTATCCCTAAATATATGAGGGAGAATTATACTAGTATCTCGGGCCAGATATTTTTCAGCGTGACCTGAACCCGATTTTTTTAAATCTGATCCTATAGGGTCGGGTCCAAGCCCCATACCCATCCCTAGCTGCAACTTCATGAAAAGATTTTTCCATTTTTGTTATAGGGATGACATATTTGGGGATTTTGCGAGTAAAATTGAAAGGCCTTTATTATGTAATAAACCTAGAGCTTATTAATATCATCTCTTATGAAATATCGGAAAAGTGGAAGAATAAGGAACTTCTTAATTATTCATGCATGCATTAGTTTAAACAGTAAAGATGAGGTGTGCCCTTGCTATAAGGCAGATTTTATTTGGAGATTTGTCATAATGTCATTTATCTGTGTGCAGCTTATTTGCTCTCAATCTCTCTCCTCTCTCCCCCGGGAATTGTGTTAAGTGGCATATATCTCTTAGCCGTCTGAGTTACATTTAGAGCTTAAATTACCTAATGTCAACTGGAGGAACAGATACAACATCTGATTTGCATCCTATAAACAGTTTTCTGTTAAAATGTTTCTGGATAGATCATTTATTTAATTTGACATGAAAATGTTGAATAGATGTGAGATTTGACCATCATTGTATGAGGCATTGCATACTCTTGACTATTTTTTTTTCTAGAAAGCAATGGCTCTATCATGCAAATTATGCATCTTAGTATTCTCCAGTCTCTTCATGGAATGTGATGTATAAGTAATCAAATAAAGTATGTTGTTGAATTTGTTTTTTCTTTTTTTTTTCAGGGTCCTGGTGTTTTCATAAGTGGAAGTAACTGCTGTTTCATGGTGGTGTTCCAGTATGGTTCCATCGTGTTGTTTAATGTGCGTGAATGTGATGTGGATCAGTATCTGAAAATTGTTGAAAAACATGCATCGGGATTGCTTCCTGAAATGAGAAAGGATGGTGAGTTCATAAGTTCCATTTTTTAGATTATACATATATATATTATCTGTATTTCTTGCCAGTTTCTTTCTCTTCTGCTTATGCATGTCCCATTCTTGCATTCACCAGATACATTGTGGTTTCTCATATATATATGTTTCAATGCATGCACATGAATACACATACAGATATGTTAAATGGGTTTTGATGGGAATTGAGATAGTTTGGGTATCTACCTCGTATTTTACTGTTGTTTTCAATGGATTTCTTCTTAATAACTCATTCATTTGATGCTATGTTTTTATCATTCAGTTTTCTGACTAGACCCTGTTATCAGAGATTAGATTTGTACTTTCATAAGGAACAAAGAAATGCAGAAGCTAATGCAATAAAGGAGTTCTGTTTAATTGTTTTGTTTCTTTTTGATATTTTATGAGCAGAGTATGAAGTGAGAGAGATGCCTGCTCTAAATACATGGATGCAAGGTGGATTGGATTACATCATGTTGCAGTTCTTGGATATTGATGGAATCCGTACCATTGGAAGTGTTCTTGGTCAAAGTATTGCTCTCGACTATTATGTGCGCCAGGTGTGTAGTGCTTGATTTCCCATGTCTGCTTTCTGAACATTTAGCTTGATAATGACAATCAAAACTTTTTTCCTTAGGTTGATGGGATGGTTGCGGAATTTACCGACATAAATCGTGGGATGGAAAAAACAGGAACATTTACCATGGACAGCAAGAAACTTTTTCAGATAGTGGGAAAGGCAAACTCTAATCTTGCTGACGTGATTCTTAAGCTCGGACTTTTTGAGAGGTAACTTTTTTACCCATTACAGAGAAGGTAATCAACCCCCATAATGTATCGTGACCATAGAACTTTCTCTAAGGCTACTTTTTCCAATGAATTTGTAATAATTTCACATCACTTTTTTCTATTCATCTCATAATGGGATAAAAATATAAATAGGAATAACTTTTGGAGCTCATGCATTTTTTCTGGGTTTTAACAGATCAGATATTGCCTGGAAAGATGCCAAATACGCCATAATCTGGGAATTTGTAAGAGATGAATTTGAATTAACTCAAAGATTTGCAGGTCTTGATTTCAAGTTGAAGTTCGTTGAGGTATGATATTTGCTCTCTTAGAAATGTCGTCTTTATGAAAAGCATAGATGCGGAAATGTCCCATAGATATACACAATGAAAATGGTCATAAATGATATCGTACATGGTTAGCTTCTAACGTGTGATATCCCTTTGTTTCTGCTTTTACAGCACAACATTCGGTTTCTTCAAGAAATTCTTCAAAATAGGAAATCAGATTTTCTGGAGTGGCTCATCATTGTGTTGATAAGCGCCGAAATCGTCATCTCTCTTTATGACCTCATCAAGAGGTCGTTATGACCCTTGGATACAGGTTAGTAATTTTCATATTGTCAAAACAATTTCTCATCAGAAGTGGCTTTTGCTGTAAATTTACTTAATATCTCTAGTTAGCTTTTGCTGTAACGATTAGATTAACTACATCACCATTTTGATTCTTGTAAATGATATGGGTTCATAGGAATTTAGCTTTCATATATTTGTTTTGTTTTTTGAGGAAAAGAAAATGAACTAATATTTTATTTTTGCCAAGTTTTTTCTGTAATTGATGAGATTTGAAACCTATAAATTTGTTGGGAAAAAAACTTTTATTTGGATCTTGGAATTAAGAAGAATTTTAATTAATTAAACGCAGGAAAATTTTCATATTATTTTCCTTCCAATGCTGAAGTGAATCATTGACAGTAATCAAATTGGTTTAATTAAGAATTTGTGGTCTAAATGACATTAAACTGAACATTGATTCATATCATATGAAACTGTCAATTATGAACCAGTGAATTGGTAGATAAAATTGATGTGATTTTTAACTCTTTTATCTTTTAAGGCGTTTCTGGATTAGTAATTTTAAGATGTTGGAGATTCTTTTAAAATCTAGGCATTTATAATTATTTTGCTAAATTAAGTATAAAGACCTGGTAAAGAAGTCTCTCACTTCATCCTTCAGAGTGTTATGAAAATAGTTCTATAACCTGCATCAACTTCTTTGTTATTACTATTCTCCTCCATGTCATTGTTCATGCACTTCCGTTGAGCCCTAATGCCTGCTTACATCATTAGGATTAAACCCTTGAACCCCAAACTTGACAATATCGGCATAGCCATTGGACCATGAAATGCTTGTTTCATTATATTATCGAAGGCGGCTCTATAACAAACATCACGAACGTGGTTAATGATCCCGTGAACAATATCGAGACGATTATTGTGAAAGAAACGATGCAAAACATTGTTGTTTGTCGACATTCGAATCAAAGGGATGATGTCATCATCGTTTTTGAAATGACCAAAAGTGAACTAACTCAACACTATTTAAGCAATCCAAGCATCGTGGACAATCTATCTCGTAGGCCGAAGTGTAAAGGGTCTTGGTTGGATGCCGTAAACCAGATTCCCACCATGGGAGGTATAGCGTTCGAGCCAAAGCAATAGAACCATGACGTGCATGGAATCAAATAACGAAAAGTTTAATATTTTTTTAGTAAAATATAATATTGAATATTATAGAGGAGAGAATTTATCTTTAGTTTTAAATTCTGACTTAATTTGATTCCAAATACAGCACTAGACATAAAAGTAATAATTTATATACACTAATAATAAATTGCAAAAAAATATATACATAATTATTATCATTATTTTAAAAACTATGCGAAACAGTTGACCCCCTTCATCTTAGATCACTTGTATCACTTGTTTACAGTTTGATTTTTCCTTATTCATCAAATGTACAGAAAAGGAAAAAAGCCTTTATCCCCCGTAAAAAAAATGTCATCAAGCCCCCAGAAAATCCAATGGAAACATGCCACGTGCGATGATAACAGTATTGAAATATGTGTTTACTGTCCTTGGATCTCTTTGGAGAACACTGGAATCATATATACTATATTTCTTTTTTCTGTTTGCCGAAAAACCAAACAAAACAGAAGAAAGTACTTTCTCTTTTCTCTCTTCCAAAACCCCAAACCCTCGAAGCCCCCCTTTTGTTGAGTTTCCCTCCGAGATCTATCCAAGGTAAACATAAAATCTCCACCTTTTCATTTCCCCCCGTAATTTATGATCTGAAGATTTCGTCTTTTGATATATATTTTTCCTTCCATTTCCCCTGCGATTTCTCAGTTTCATGCTTATGTTAGTCTTAGGTTAAGTTTTTTTGCTGGGTTGATTGATTTTTATTTTTTATTTTGGAAATTTTCAATGTTGGATCTTTTTTTTTATTGATTTTGAGAAATACCCAGATTAGTTCTTATATGGATAAAACTAAAGAGAAGGGTGGTTTATTAGTAATGCTACATATTTTTTAGCTGTTGCCAGTGAACTGTAGTTGCGTTTATAGCTTAATTTCTTTCTCTCTTTTGTTTTATCGCTGTAATTTTATGTGGTATAAAAATGTGTATTTTATCATTTTTTAATTTTCTTTTAATTTTAATTTCCGAATGATTTTGAAAAATACGCAGGTCGGTTATTGAATGGATGAGGCTAAAGAGAAAAACGGTTCCCTGAGTGTTGCTACAGAATCTTCATTAACTGTTAGCGAAACTATTATTGAGACGGTGGCTTGTGAGGGTCAAATTCGGCTGGAGGAAGGAGGGGAAGAGGGTCCTAGTAATGGAGATGATATAATGGTGGAAGTTCTGGGTTCTCATGTTTATGTAGATGGTATTTGTACTACTGATGGGGGAGATGGAGGTATGATTAGGAGTGGTTTGAATGATGAAGCGGTTCATGGTCCTGGTGACTCTGGCGGAGTTGGTATGGAGGGTAATCTGCTCAACTTAAATAGTGAAGGTGACAAAGCTGGTGATTTGGGTTCTAGGAGTGAGGTTTCTTGTGGTGAAGCAGAGGCCTATAATGAGGTTAGTGGTGCTAAGGTTGAAGCTGGTGAGAATATGGAAAATACCGACGGAAGGGATGAAGGTGACGTAGATGCAAATCAAACTTTGGAGGCACAAAAAGTTAGTGATTTGGATGGTAATGACTTAAACCGTGGAGAACAGAAAGCTGTCGAATGTTCATCCGTTATATCCAAAGATTCAACTGATCAAACTAAGGTTGTTGAGGAAGCTGCATTGACAGTTGATGGGGACAATTTGAATACTCTGGATGGTTCTTGTGAAACTATATCTGACACAAAGAAGGAAGCTGCTGATGTCGGTGTAGATGATAACTCATCAGATGTGAAGACACAGATTACTGCAGAAGATGTTCTCCATTCTGGGACTAAAGGTATGAAAATTAGTTCTTTTGATCATAATTTGAAATTTCAAGTTGAAGGACAGCAATGAAGTTTTGAGAGTAGGTGGGTAGCACTGAAAAATACTCTACAATGACCATGCAGATGCGGTTTATTCATATCAATCAACTGAATCGGTTGTTGAAAGTGGATTGGATGAGAAGGTACTTCAAGATTTTGATTCTGCCAATGTTTAATAACTCTAATGTGTAAAACCAGCCAATCTTTTTCCCCCTCTTCTGCAGGTTAACACAAACAAGGAAACTGACAAGCAAGGTGCTGATTCTGAACAAAGGCATATGGAAGTTGATATTCCTCATTGTAGCTCTGAAAATCATGCAGCAGGTAAAATTGCTAGAGTTGATACATACATACATACATATATACATATATATATATATAGACAAGATCCATTGACACATTGTAGAACTTTGTAAAACTTGAAAGTTTTACACTTTTTGGATCGTTAGATAAGTGAAAACAGATGGTTGAGATTAGTAGTAGGAAATGAGGAGATTTTTATGGGAAAGAAAGAGAATTGGATTATCCTTAACTTAAAAGTTTTAATCTCACCCATTAAATTCAGTTAATCCAAGGATCCACAAAAAGTGTAAAACTTTGAAGTTTTACACTGTGTAAGTCGATCCTAACACACACACGTATGGTTACAACAATGTTGATTTGGATAAGTTTTATCTTGCTCAGGAAATGACCAAAACATAAAGGCTACGACAGTAATTGATGGAGCAGAGGAAGTTGATTCAAGTCTTGGGGCTGCAATGGAAGTTGAAAAGCAGGTTCCTGATTCAAAAAATGTTGGTTTTGATGCCGATAAAGATGTTAAAGCGGAAGAAAGTCTGTTGAAATTGAGACAGCGGGTGTTGGCTCTGAATATCATGAAGCCTCAAAATCTCTGAACAATGTTTCAAACCAAGTACATTCCTCATATTCTTTGGTAAATGAAGATCTGTTAGCTGAGAATGCAGCTTCTAAGGATGATTCAAGGGTAGCACAAGATATGGATGTTGAAGAACAAGTTTCTAGTGATGAACATGATGGTTTAGACCAATTGCAAGAAATGGAAGTTGAAGAACAAGATTCTGATCCTGAACAGCCAACCAACTTTGATGAAAAGACTGTTACACGAATGGCTCTGAGGTCTGCGAGTGCAATAAAGGTGCATCAAGTTAGGTACCAGCTTCCATCAGAGGAAGGTGAATTGTCTGTTTCTGATTTAGTCTGGGGAAAGGTGAGGAGCCATCCATGGTGGCCAGGACAGATCTTTGATCCTTCAGATGCTTCTGAGAAGGCGGTTAAGTATCATAAGAAGGATACTTATCTGGTTGCCTACTTCGGGGATCGGACATTTGCTTGGAATGAAGCTTCTGTTTTGAAGCCATTTCGACCTCATTTCTCTCAGATTGAGAAGCAGAGTAATTCAGAAGCATTCCAGAATGCAGTCGATTGTTCTTTGGAAGAAGTGTCTAGACGGACAGAGTTAGGACTAGCTTGCTCTTGCATACCTCAGGATGCTTTTGACAGAATAAAATTCCAAAAAGTTGAGAATGCAGGTGTTCAGCAAGAATTAAGTGTAAGAAATGTTTCTGATAAGTCTTTGAGTGCTAGTTCTTTCGAACCTGATAAATTGGTTAACTATATGAAAGCATTAGCAGAGTCTCCAGCTGCTGGGGGTGATCGACTTGACCTTGTGATTGCTAAAGCTCAGTTGTTGGCTTTCTATTGTTTAAAAGGTTATCATCAGTTGCCTGAATTCCAATCCTGTGGAGATTTAAGTGAAAATGAAACAAATACCTCACATTCTGAAAAGAAAATGCATTTGGTGAGGTAACTGAGCATAGTACTACTTTGGATACCGATGGTGAGCAAATTTCCAGTGGCCAGGAAACTTCAAAAACTAAGAGAAGCTATTACCTTAAGCGTAAGCATAATCTGAAGGATGGGTTGTATCCTAGTAAAAAGGAAAGAAGCTTGACTGAATTGATGGGTGAGACATTTGATTCTCCTGACGCTGAAAATGGGCCTGACGGGATGGCTAACAAGCTTTCTTCATCATCATTTGGAAAGAAAAGAAAAGCTGTTGATTCCTTCGAGGACTCGATGCAATACGAGAGGAAGACAATTTCTCTTGCCAAAGTTTCTCAAACTCCACCTCATTTCCCAAAGCCTTCCTTCAAAATTGGTGAATGTATCCGTAGAGCTGCGAGTCAAATGACGGGATCTCCATCGATTCTGAAGTCCAGTGGTGATATGTTACCCAAGATTGATGGAGACAGTGAAAATCCTGCTGCAGATGGAATTGATGCTCCCATTGAGAATTTCGATGATGCACTGCAAAAGATGACGAATTATATGTCAAATTACTCATCACTAGAGGAGTTGTTATCACAACTTCACGAGGCAGCATGCAATCCAAGGCTAAGTTCTTTTAGTTCAATTGTCAACTTTTTCTGTAATTTCAGAGATTCAATTGTTGTGGATCAGCAACCTGGGGACAAAGTAGGTGACAAAAGGAAAAAGTCTCCCAATTCTATTTTTGGTTCTCCAGAAACTTTCGAGTTTGAGGACATGAATGATACTTACTGGACCGACAGAGTAGTTCAAAATGGTTCTGAAGAGCAACCGTTACATGGAAATGGAAGGGGACATTATCAAATAGTGCCTGTTCAATTAGAGAAGCCACTTCAAAAAGGTCGTAAATCTCGAAAACGGTATTCTGTTGGTAATCACGATTTGACCACTCAGAAACCCCCTGGCTATGTTGATGAGAGGGCTCCAGCAGAACTTGTCATGAATTTCACTGATATTAATTCTGTCCCTTCGGAGACAAAGCTAAATAAGATGTTCAAGCACTTCGGACCGTTAAAGGAATCTGAAACAGAAGTCGATCGGGAAACCAGCCGTGCAAGAGTTGTTTTTAGAAGATCGTCTGATGCTGAAGTTGCCTACAATAGTGCTGGAAAGTTCAATATCTTTGGGCATGTGGCTGTAAATTATCAACTCAGCTACACTATATCTGAATCATTCAAAGCTTCATTGTATGCTCCAACCCTAGCAGAAGAGAATCCACTCATGTCTTCATCCCTATGTGGGGATCATGCTCTTGTTGCCTCATCCCTGGGCGAGGGAAGTTCACACTTTCCTCCAAGCCTAGGTGAGGAAGGTTCATTCATGGTTTCAACCCTCGGTGAGGAAACTTTACCTATTGCTACAACTTTCCATGATGAACTTCAGTCATCCTTTGGTGAGGGCAGTTTGGCCAATCCGACTTCGTTAGGCAATCAAACGTCAGGCATCATCACAAGCATGTATGAGGAGACATTTCCCATCGCCACAAGCATGTATGAGGAAACATTACCCATCTCCACAAGCATGTATGAGGAAACATTACCCATCTCCACAAGCATGTATGAAGAAACATTGCCAATTGTTACAACTGCAGTTGAGGGAACAATGGATGTTGCAACAACTATTGGTGACCAAACTTTGATGGTTGCTACAACTGTAGGCGAACAATTTTCAACAGTTGTCACAACTATTAGTGAGCAAACCTCAACGGTTTCAACATTTGAGGAAGATTATCCCTTCTCCACAACCTTGAACAGAGAAACTTCAACTATCACCACAAACTTGCGTGAGGAAACTTCAACTGTTAATGTAAGCTTGGGTGAGGAAAATTCAGGCTTTGTTACTGAAGGTCGAGAAACTTCAAGCGTTCCCACAGCTTTTGGTGAAGAAACTCCTGCCAATCCTGTGACCTTGACAGAAGAAATTCCTAGTATTCCGAGAACCTCAGGTGAAGAAACTCCAGCTATTCCCTTGGCCGAAGAAACCCCTAGTTTTCCCAGAACCTTAGGTGAAGAAACTCTAGCCAACCCTGTGGCAGAGGAAACTTCTAGTGTTGTTCCCACAACCTTAGGTGAAGAAACTCCAGCTATTTCCTTGGCGGAGGAAACCACTTGTATTCCCAGAAACTTGACCGATGAAACGCCAAATGTTCCTCTTGCCGAAGCTACCTCTAGTATTTCAAGAACCTCGTGTGAAGAAACACCAGCCATTCCCCTGGCAGAAGAACCCCCTAGTATTCCCAGAACCTTGGGTGAAGAAACTCTTGCCATTCCCTTGGCAGAAGAAACCCCTAATATTCCCAGAACCCTGAGTGAAGAACCACCAGCCATTCTCTTGGCAGAAGAAACCCCTAGTATTCCCAGAACCTTGAGCGCAGAAGAAACCCCTAGTGTTCCCAGAACCTTGAGTGCAGAAGAAACCCCTAGTGTTTGCAGAACCTTGAGTGCAGAAGAAACCCCTAGTATTCCCAGAACCTTAGGCGAAGACACACCAGCCGTTCCTGAAATTGTCAGTGAAGAAACCCCGGCCATTCCTCCAACCTCGAGTGGAGAAACTCCTCTTCCTCCAATCTTCAATGAAGAAACTCCTACTATTCCCATAACCTTGGGTCAGGAAACTCAGACCACTCCAACCATGATTGAGGAAACCACAACCATTCCTGCAACCTTGGACAAGGATGCTGCAACACTTCCTGCAACCTTGCATGAAGAAACTCCAGCTATTGTGACGACTTTGGCTGAGGAAACTCCAACTACCACAATCTTGGGTGATGAAACTGCAACCAGTCCCACAACCTTTGGTGAAGAATCTTCAACTATCCTGACAACCTTGGGTGAGGAAGCTTCATCTGTTCCCACAACTAATGGCGAGGAAAAATCAACTGTTTCTACAACTACTGAAATGGAGTCGTCTCCCCCTGAAGTGGCTGGAAGCAAGGAACATTCAACTTAGTTTTTCCACTGCAAAATTTTCTTGGAAATTTCAGGTATTACTTATCTGTATGAAAGCTTTTAACTTGTTGATGTTAGAACAATGACAGTTCTCATCTGGCTTTGCACAACCATTATGGAGAAAATGAGAGTGCAGATTCAGTGAATTGCTTTTCACCTCCTGCACTTAAATTCATTTAGTGGAGAAGTATGGTTAATGGTTTTGGTATTTACAGGCAGCTAATAGGTGTAAGATATGAAATAACTGAATATGTATTACCATGTATGCTACCACTAAGTTCAAATGGCAGGAGTAGGAGCAGCTGTTATTTTACATTTTTGGAGCCCAATGTTTATAACTCCAGGCTAGTTGGGTAGGGGATAAATGCTTTGATTATTATCTCTTGTGAATAGTTTAATCGTGACATCAGAGTTGATGGTTTATATTAGTTCATCTTGAATCCATCTCATTTTTAAGGTGCATAAAGCTGCAGGATTGATGCATCATGGGATTGTACAAAAATAGTTTATTCAGTTTTCTGGTGGTTTGAAGTTGGATAAATGAACTGCCAGTCAATCATAATGACTAACGTTTTATAATACAAAATCTTCTGTTTTGTTAAGCTGTAATAATATCGCCTTCTGTGGTTAAATCTTATTCTTGAATCTTTTTTGCAATCGGTATAGGGGAGAACATACCCTGGGGTTCAGGTGTCAAGTGTGTGGCTCTGGTAGGCGTTTGATTCGACTTGTGACTGAAGAAGGCAATCGACGGCCCTTCAGCTCGGATTTGTTCTTTCTTGAATTATGCTATAAGCTGCATGGTGTTACGCGCCGACTAGTGTAATGTAATAGCATTTTTAGATGATTTGACCTATCCGTGGATGCTATCCTTGAGGACTAGGAGAATTGCATTGTAGAATCATGGCTGCCTATCTATTGTTCATGCCTCTTCATCAATGGATGCAACGGGTATTGAGTTTTCGATTTTCAGTCGTTATGTGACTTTGCTGCTGCATCTGCTTATCCTTTGGTTCCTCATACGCGTTTCGATCAGCATGGGAAAAATATTGCTATAACTAGTATGGGTGGCAAAATGGTTAGGTATATTTACCCACTTATTATAAATGCTAAAACATGATGTATGGGGATAACAAGACTTCGGCTTCAACACAAAGTCTAGTAGAGAATTAGTAATGCCAGTGAATGGAACCCGTAATTCATTATAAAATCTTCTTTAATGGCCCCTTTGTTTTAAGATATTCACACTACATTTTTTTTAAATATAAGTTTGGGATAAATACAAAGTGGTATTTTATTTAAAAGCTTTCAACTTTTTGCCAATGAACGGTCATAAGTCTGCTCAAAAGGTGGTTAAAATAAAGAAGACAACTCTTTGATAAGGGAAGGTCCTCAAGTTTTTATTTTTTATTTTTAAATAAAAAATGAAAAAAGACTATGGGAAATATGCTTCCTCTTGTAGTATTCTTATGTCTTTCATTTTCTATTTCTTTCTCTTCTTTGTTCTTTCTGATTTTTAAATTAAGACTTAAATTCGTTTAAATAAAGTCAAAAATAAACGAAATGAGAGAGACTAGGAATCAAATTAAATCAACTGTTTGGGATTTATTGTAAAAAAATTAAATGAAGAGAGGTTGTTTTATATATATATATATATATGTTGTTTTATATATATATATATATATATATGTTAAAATATTTAAATTATTTATAATTTTAAATCATGACCATTCTAATGTTATAACAATAACAATATTAACAAATTAAAGTTTGAACAATATTTATAAATTTTTTCTTTTATCTTATATTTCAAGCAAAATAATTTATGATTTATCAATAATATTTAATAGAAAACTATAAAAGTGAGATTTCATACATAAATATGAATTATTATAATGTATGTAATTGTTAAATTTATTTCACAAGCATGGTTTAAACAGTGATAAGAATTTCAATTTAAATTTTAAAATAAATAAATGAAACACATATTATGATTTTAATCTCATCGGTGAAAATACTTTTATTGACAATATACAAAATAATAAACTTATTTCTATAATTGATGTCTCAATTTTTTTATTGATTCATACTGTTCCTTGATAAGTCAATTTTTTTCATAAAAATAATATAATAATTAACAACTTATCAATTTATACCATTTATATTAATACTATCATTAATCTTTAATTAAATTAATGAACTAGTTAATAAAGATGTAATTTTGTTAAAAATATTAAAATAATCTTTCTTTCAGATAATAATTGGTATTATTATGTTAATATTAGGGTAAAATATAGTAATTGTCACTGAATTTTTCTAAAGCTTCATTTAGGCCCCCAACTTTTAAAACTTGCAATACAGTCCCCCAACATTTAGTCTGTTTGCAATATGCTCCCTGACCGTTTGACACCGCTACACTGCTGTTAGTATGTTTGCAATATGGTCACTGAACTTTTCAGGCACTTGCATTTAGCTCCCCCAACTTTTAAAACTTACAACATAGTCCTAAATTTCATTATAAACCCCAAATTTCTTTTTGATCTCGAATTTCCTTTTACGCTTCTCTCTTCTCATTTCCAGCGTAACTTTTCAATCGGGGATGCATGGGAATTTCTAATCTAACTTTGAATTATGTGGAGGTGTTGACTTGAATAAGGGTCCATTGAGAGAAGACCCGACCAAGAGACTATCGAGACCATCAACGATTCAAGGTGTAATGTTAGATACAGGTCATCTCAGGTGAAGCATAGATGTTCGATGAAATGTTTGTGAGAAAAAAATGGGGTTAGAAATGCAAAGTTGACAAATACTACTAAGATGAACTAAGTATCATTATTGAAAGTCACCAACAAAGTTGGAATTATTTTGTATAAATGGCATTTAATAATTTCTTCGTTTAATTATTGTGCTTAAAAATTTTCCAACAGATGATCAAATATAATGAAATTCAAACAGTGCATTCATCTCTCAGTCTCTTTCGCAACTCGAAAGGCATCATGACAGGGTCAAGTAGCTGCTCCAAATATATTATCCTGTCATGATGCCTTTCGAGTTGCGTGCATGCATAATTGTCTTCTAAAGCTATAATTCAATACAATTCAACTGTAAAATTTCCAAAACATGTAAAAAATTAATTCGTTCACGATATCAGTCCTATAATCAACATGAACTTATTAAAAAGAATGCGAGCTCACAAGACGCCGAAAACCACATGTCATATCAATACAATTCCAATTAAACTAGTACCAACAGTCTCTCGGACTGAGCGTGGCGATTTCACTATGTCGATACCCACAACCAATTCCATGATTTAAAGAAAAACCAAACAAGAAGATTGATAAAATTTAGCCTAGGACCCTATTTCACTTATATTCTGATGGACTGAATATCTTTCATAAGGAGTACTAAAGTTTGATTAAGAAGAAAGAAAGAAAATTAGATGGTTTTGGTTCAAAACTAACACTGAATATCTAGATCATTGACATGCAGTTCCAGAAACATAAAAATTTCAACAAAAAAACACACAATGCGAGCTGAAAATGGGAAAGTGTGAAAGAGGAAAAGCTTAATTCTGGATAGCCTAAAAGAAAAAATAAATACCTTCTTGCAAGTGAGGGGAGAGACTAAGAAATAAACACAATCGGTGTTGCATTCAAGCAATTATTCCTCCATTTTTTTTTGTAAATAAAAAACTGAAAGATAGAACACTGCTTGGGTTTACAATTTTACATGGCAAAAAATTGAAGAACAAAAAATCAAACGAGAGGTGGTGTGTTGTTTGAGATTTCATTATATTTGATCACCTGTTGGAAAATCTTTAAGCACAAGGATTAAACGAAGAAATTATTATATGCCACCAAAATAATTCTAGCTTTGTTGGTGACTTTCAACAATGACACTTAGTTCATCTTAGTAGTATTTGTCAGCTCTGCATTTTTAACCCAATTTTTTCTCACAAGCATTTCATCGAACATCTATACTTCACCTGAGATGACTTGTATCTAACATTACACCTTGAATCGTTGATGGTCCCGATAGTCCCTTGGTCGAATCTTCTCTCAATTGACACTTAGTCAAGTCAACACCTCCACATAATTCAAAGTTAGATTAAAATTTCCCATGCATCTCCAACTGAAAAGTCACGATGGAAATGAGAAGAGAGAAACGAAAAAGGAAATTTGAGATCAAAAAGGAATTTAGGGTTTAGAATAAAATTTAGGATTGTGTTGCAAGTTTTAAAAGTTGGGGGACCTAAATGCAAGAGCATGAAAAGTTCAGTGATCATATTGCAAACATACTAACGGCAGTGTAACTGCGTCAAACGGCCAGGGACCATATTACAAACAGACTAAATGTTGGGGGACCATATTGCAAATGGACTAAATGTTGAGGATTTTATTGCAAGTTTTAAAAGTTAGGGGATCTATATGAAAGATTTAGAAAAATTCAATGACCATTACTATACTTTACCCTTAATATTATTATTTTTATATGATTTTAAAATAATAAATTACTCATTTAAGAATTAAAGTTATGTTCAATTTAATTTACATCTATGGTCCTTAACATTCAATCTATAATTATTATTAAATAAACTTTATAAAAAATAATTTTTACATAAAATGTTTTCCTCCACATCCGGCGAAATTTAGCGTATTTTAAAAATTAATTAATTAGTTTTATTTTAAAGTATTTTCTTTAGCAGTTATTATAGATGTGTGAATTGCGTTTGAACATAAAAACTTGGTCGTTTTGATGACTTTATGATATTTCCATTTAAGACAACAAAATTAGACTGACCTTATCTAAATTCATGCACAAAACATGCGCTCCACTAATCAAATTAATTAGTAATAATTACAAATTAATTGTCAAAATCTTCGTTTTCTTTTTTTTTTATAAAAAGGTTCTTCACTTTTCCCTCCCTTTGTCTTTTTCTCTTTCTCGGTTAGTTTCTTTATATGCCTTCAAATGCAAAGAGAAAAAAATAGAGTGATCTTGAAGAAGAAAATGTCATTCAAAAAAATATTTTCTATGAATTTCAATTCCCTGGTATGTTATTCATTCTGGGTTGTAATAAATTTCTTTGTCTGGATGTTGAGAAAAACAGGAGAGTTAAACTTACTTTCTTCAATTCTGTGTTTCTTTATTGGCTTTGAGAGGTTGGGGTTTTACTATTTTTCTGTAAAGAAAAAATCTTTATGTTGGTAGGCTTTCATATTTTAACGAAATATATATTGATGATCTTCAAGTTTTAGTCCAATTCCACTAGAAAAAGGGTATCAGGATTGAATTTGATCAAGTTATTATGAAGATTTAACTTTAGGCCATTAAAATTAGGAATGAGATTAGGATTTAATCTGAATATTGGATTGTTCTTTCCCTTCTTACTGTACATTCATTGACTAAATCAATTTCTTGATGGAATATTATTGATTTAGAAGAGGCTTCAAGGGATAGAAAAAAGATTGATATTGATGGATTCAGGCTGATTGAGGCTTCAAAAGATGAACCAAAGCAAAAGGAAGAAGAAAAAAAGACTGATGGATTCGAGTCCAAGTATGATCTTCGCAAGAGTTTGGCTTGGGACAGTGCCTTTTTCACAAGTCCAGGTTCCTTTTTAAGCTTTCAAAATGACTGATAAATTTCCCAAGTAATTTCAACAACATTGTGAAGGCATTTTTCTCGTTATTGTTGCGAAATTCTGTTCATGTTCTTAGGAGTTTTGGATCCTGAAGAGTTGTTTGAGACTTCGAATATTAATGCTGGAGACAAGGGACACAATGAACCAAGTAGTTTTCCTTCAGAATCCATGACAGCAAGTAGAATCGGTGATTGCATTGCCCGGAGAAGTTTAGCTTGGGATGCTGCCTTTTTCACCAGTGCAGGTATGCTTACTTACACATGGTATAAATGAGTCCTTAGCAGCTTAGCCTCGAAAGGAAGGAGTCACATATATTGGGATTCAAGCTGCTTCTAAAGTGTGACTACATGAACCAATTTGCTAATCTCGGGTTTCTTGTTATAGCATATTCGTCTTGTCATATAGTTTTCCAGAGCTAATACTTACTTTCCACTTGTTTCAATGCTTAGGGGTACTGAATCCAGAAGAGTTGTCTTGGTAAACAATGGATATAGGAAGTCTGAAACTGTAACACATATACTTCCGGGAATCGAACAAGAGTTTTGGAAATCTACTGAATCAGACTCTACGTTGGATAGTGATTACTCCTTGTCAAGTCTTGAGATTGATCTTTTTGATGATATGAGAGCTTCAATGCAGAAGTCAAGCAAAGAATCCAATTTGTTGAATTCCAGTAGCAAACTTCAAAGTCAAACTGGCATTCCAAATTCCCATTGTGAGTATCTACTGCTTTGGACTATCTTCAGTGGGAACTTAACGGAGTCAAACAATAGATGCTTCTAGTTAAAAATAGTAACTTGAAGTTCATATGATTGTCTTACAACATGAATTGGTTCTTGAATTTTCTTTGCCTTGTGCTTATTAAGTCTGCTTTTTTCTTTGCAGTTTCAAAAAGGATGGATACTACTTCGAGGGTCTGTAGTTTTTTTTTCAAAAAAAATTGGGGTGGAACCAGACATTTTTTATGCCTTTTTGAGATTCATTCATTTAACAAATTTCAGGTTAAACCCTTTCCAGCTTCAGAAGGCCAAAAACTTCAGCAGATGGAGTGGGGAAGACAGCAAAAGAGGCCATCAATCCTTCAAAATCACATGTATGTTCAATTCAGAATACTGGTCCAGATTTCATTGCTATGTATCAAACAAATAGTGCACCTTAGCCATGTTTCAATTCGAAGCTCATATCATCAATAGTGCCTTCTAAGGAGACCTTAAAAGTGAAGAATTTTTCAGTATTTCCTTTTACATTTGGCAGTCTTGCATTCTCTCTATCCATATCGTTTTTGTTTTATTTTCTCTTATCTTGTATTGTTTCGTTCTTCACTTATGTTTTCATATAGTATTTGTTAAATTTCCATGCATGTCTCTTGAGTCGTATGAACCCGACCTTTACTTATATGACTGACATGGCTTCATTACTTATGGTTAAAAACAAAGCATGGTACTCGAGCCGGAGAACATGAGCCATCATCTTCCCTTAAGCTGTCCAAGGCATATGACCAGGCCAACCTTTCTCGCCTGGTGCAACCAAAAGGGCTTCAGCAGTCATAAACCAAACGAAAGTGAACAATAAAATCAGAAAAGCTGTATCTGGTAAAACTGTCATAAAGTTTTGGTTTTGTCATACAGTGTGTATGTTTCATTTCTTCCTTACATAAAATTGTTTTTGGACTTTCGTTTGATTGATGATTATAGGGAAAAACATATCAAAGAAACCTTGTATTGGTGACCGTGGTACACCATCTCCAGAACATCATCTTCACATTCCCACATCGCTTCTAAAATCTTTCAGGATCTGTTGTGGGCACAGTGCTTCCATTCTTAGAACCCCATGCTCTCTGAGAAGAAAGAATGATTTGGTTGCTTCGGACTCAGGTGTTCGGACCCCTACAAGATCCTTAACCCTACACAAAAGCAAACTGATAGATTCTTCTCAGCCAATTAGTTTACAGTCCACACCGAATTCTCTGAGAACATCACTTTTAACTTCCATTGATTGTTGGTCTTCTGAATCCTCAGCTTCTTTAGATCATGTCGGCACTGGGAACTGTTCTAGTGAGCAACTTGTTCCAAGCGGAAGCAAAGAAGCCAGGTTTCCACATCAAGATGTTTGCAGATTCTCAAAGGGAAGTTGTCATCTACTATCCACTGTTTCGAGAGAAGCAAAGCCTTCTGGCCTTCGACTGCCATCAACAAAGATTGGATTCTTTGAACCTGTTAGTCTCTTTTTCGATCTCCTTTTTATTTCATTGGCAAGTGAGTTTCTTTTTGGTTTGAACATCACAATCTTGCTGTTGAATGTGTTTTTTTTCACTGGCAGGGAAATTCCAGGGAATTAACTCCAAATGGTGTAAAGTTTCATTCTGGTTTGCACAATAGTTCTAAGACTAGAACTGGAACTAATCTCAATGGCACTCCAATAGAGCAAGGTATAGTAAACTTCAATCACCAAGAACATCAACAAGAACTGCAAACTTAAAGGAGAAAAAACTGCGTTTTCAGCAAAACGGAACCAGAAGTCTGGGGATATCGAGCCTGATGCGAAGCTTGAAGAAGAAAACTCTAGTCAGAAGTCAGATCTCTTGGGACTATTAAGAGTTCTCCTGCTTCAACTATCATGTCTGAAACTGAACTAACTTGTGACTCAGGTAACAGATTTGGCTTGAAAACTGACATTTCCGGATCATATGTGAAAGGAGATGATAAAGGTAAAACTCAAGCTAAGAGCCAAGTGGTTGAAAATCATCTCATGATCAAAACGAAGAGAATATTGCACTAAACCGTGATGAAAAAGAAAACAAACTTAGTTTCAAGAGCCAAGTGGATGTTTTAATAATCAGATTGAAGCCATTGATGTCAATGGGGATTAGAATTGTGAAATGTGAATCTGTATAGAGTGGTTAAAACATTCACTCCATCTGAAACAATGTAATTCAACATGGCAATTTTATGTTTATTTACCCTCATTTGAATCTGAAAACGGATTATGATCTTAAAAATATACGAAAAAAACTTGTAAAAGAAAGCATACCCATATCAAATGCATAGCTATACCTTAACATTCATCCTCAAGTATACCGGTTTCATTGGTTAAGGATAAATATCACACACCCAGTCGATGGGAAACATATTACAAAAGTATTTTAAACAATAAAAAGGAATTTTTCATCAGACCAAAGACCATGAAAATCAGAGCTGTCTGGATCTGCCAAGGAACCGGCAAATTCCAACAAATTCGGACAAACACAGGTTGCAGCCATGTTCTTACTCCTCACATCATCTACACAATAAGTTAGAAAGCATAAGAAGCCTGTCCCTATAAGTTAATTTAGTTTCCAGTTTTTGGATGATCAAATGCTAAGAGTTCACATATTTATAACTGAAAACAAGTTTAAAAGAAGCTTTCGATATTCGGAGATGATTTTATTTACTATGGTTTTTATGCCTGGAATATTATGATCCAGAAATCATAAAGTTTTAAGGATATGACGATAATCACCTTGAATAAGTCACCAAACATCCCTTGAAGGGGATTTCTACGCTGTACACCGTAGAACTTTTCTGCAATTCATCTAGCAACTGCACAATCATGTTTGTGTTAGAATCAGATACATGTAAGCTTTACTATATTCCAAAGAGATTATGAAAACAATACACAAAAAAAGGCGACTTGACATATATGAAAGCATTGAATGCAAAACTGATTGCACACCACGTTGAATGCAGGTTCTCTGTCTATGCTAGACTTGTAATTCACTCTCAACATATTAAAAAGAGGCAAGGCATCTCTTTCCAACCTGCATACCAAAGAGTCTTTAGAACAAATTATCAGGCAATATTAAATTTACCTAACATGGAAAGAATATGGTAGCCTAAATCTAAGCCGAAAACTGACTACGGTGATTTTAATTAAAAGTGAATAGAAATAATTGTCAGTTAGGTCAAAGTATGAAACATTAGTGGTTCTTTTATCCATGTTACTCGGACTGGGGTCTGAGTGGATATGAACATGTATCTGAGGTATATTCAATTAAAAGTCTGGATACGCGTTGGACATGGGTTATACCCTGATATCAGCAATGCCAAGGAAATGCAATACAACTATATAAACTATGGAAATGGAGGAAGTATATGCACTTAATATCATCCATAAACTAAATTGTTGAGAACAACGACTTCTGATAAAGCAGGCAGTATTATCAACATTACATGATACTCAACATTGCATCCACACCTACTTGTGCCTAGGATGGTAGGACCGTTCCCTATAAATATGGAGAATGAATCGATTAAAGAGAGAGGGAAAAATACTTACACTAGCAAGAGAAAAGTGATTAACTGAATCAAATCCGATTCGGGGAAATCAAGCTCCAAAGATTCCACTAGTCTCTTTAATTCATCCATAAGGTAATTTGCATCTCGGAGATTAACCATAGACAAGTACCATAATGTAAATGCCATTTTCTTTATTCATACAATTTGTTGCTACATTATTAACAAAGTAACAGTATCAAAATTTTAAAGTTTGGACCATATAAAGATTCAGAAAAGAAAAGGACAAATGAAAAACTAGATACCGTATCATAGAAGGAAATTTATAACCGTCTCATAGAAAAGAAATCCATTTGTAGTTTGGAAGTGGAACATGGCTTGTTAATAATCAATTTAAGTTTATAAATTACAAAGGACCACTTAGAAAAGGGAAACAATGAAATACATAATATCTTATGGACCGTAGAATTTTGACTTTGAGAAAAACTAAATTTAAGATGCGAGGTCAAGATTAAAGTCCTTTTCAACTGTACTGGCAATAGGAACAGTAAATTACAGGCAAGTGAGAAGATTTTCAGCAGGCTTACATAAGAAACTGCCTGTGCGATGGCTAGATCATCTTCACCGAGATAACACTGCATGGTTGAAAAGCATAGCAGTTGATTGCATTAATAAGTATCAAAGGAAAAGTAATGCCAACTGTTGATCATAGAGATGGAACTAGAAATCCAAGAAACTGATTGAGTCATACCATCTTCCATGCATTTTTTTATGGCCAATATTCTAATTCCTAAAATAAGCCTAGATTCTAACCCTAAACTTTTAATTATTTAAGCACTCGTCAGTAAAGAGGAAATTTGAGTAGCTTCGATGGCTCTAGTTGAGATTTTAGAATGGTAGGAGTCTTAGAAGTGACAAATTACTTTGAAGAATAATAAGAAACAGGCTTAGATGTAGAATCTCCCAGCATAAGTACGACATATGCAATCTGAAGATGATTGCAACTTTTCGAAAACAGGCAGTGAAAATTTTTAACTCCACAAGAAGGTATACGGGAATATGACTTTGATTTGTGTGCCTCGAACCATATTCATAAACCGGGGGGGGGGGAGAGAGGGGAAATTAACCTTGCCCATGAAATTTACTAATGTAGATGCAAACTTCTTTGGGTTGTTTCCTCTAACAAAATGATAGGACACTTTAGCCATGTTCTGCAAAAAAAGAAGGAAAATCACATAATTGTAGGCATCCAAAATCCACATGCATGTTAACTGATGAATGGACCTTTAAGATGCAAAGTGATGAAAAACAATGTACAAGAGGGCTTTTATGGAGGAAAAATTTGGAAGCATCTAATTTTATTTCCCAAGCATTATGATAAAACCAAAATAAACATGCCCAGTTGTTAGAAATATAGTTGATAATCTTAGAATTTTGGGGGGGATTATTAATTGGGTTGCAAGGACAGCTAATATGGACGCTGATGCTTTAGCAAAGGCTGGAATAGGCTAATTTTTATGTTGTTTGCATTCTAAGTTTTGTCTTTGATTCCTGTTAGGGTGGGTTTGTTGGCTGTTGTAAGGGTTATTCGAAGAGATCTCTAGGCTGTAATTAGTATTTTCTTTAATGAAAATCTAAGGCACTCTTTTCCTTCTTCCGCTGATTAAGGAGCCGTTTTCAAGCTCCATTAATCAAGAAGGAGGTTTTTAATGAGGCCTTCAAATCTTATAAAAAAAATAATAAAACCAAAATAAACGCAACTCCAATTACCCATAGCAAAATAAAGGTTCGATAGATGTAAATAAACTAGTTCAAACCAACAAGAAAAATCCGGATATCTCTATTGAGTACATAAACAACTTATGGTTGGTAGAGCAATTTGCATGTGCATTTCCACACATATTAGAATGAACTTAAGTGGCAGACCAGCCTTATCTCTCTGCAAGGAGTGCCCATACATAACATCCTGAGAGGCTGTTACCCTTTAATCTGAAGGATCCATGTCATGCTTTTACTGAAGTTATTACATTAAAAGTTTATTGGACTACATATTTTAATTATTAAAGTTGAGCACAGCACACATTTACACAAGATGAATGCCTCAGATAATATTAGTGTGTTATCTGCAAAACATTAACTTGGCCATTAGCGTACAATGCAAGTATTCCGCAAGCCATTAGGACCTTCAAATCAGAAAAAGATAAACTTCATCTAAGTTAAAGCAAGAGACAAGGAAAAATATGTTATTGAAGCAAAAGTAAAGTCAATTTTACTTCAAAACCTACCAACTCAGTAGATTCGGAATATATGTATTCTGCAGCATAACATGCAGTTGTGGATCACCGTTCCTGGAAGCACCAAACTCTGCAGACCACCTAAAACACAAATAATAAATTCCAAGGAAAAATGTAGTACCATTATTAAACGCAAATAAAAAGAGTCTTTATTCTTTCTGTTTTCATGGCTTTCATTTCCATATTATCTTAGTAAATTTTAAGTTCAAGATCATAACAGTACAATCTTATGCCTCACACATATTGCAAATGGGGGGCGGCTGTCATTCATCTATCAAATAAATGCAATCACTATAGATAATAGGACAAGGGTACAGACTGAGAAACCACATTATCTGCCTAGTAAATTCTCTCATGAAAACATAGCACACAATAATTAGAAGAAAGAAAATAGCTAATCAACAAAATAATATGGGAACGATGTCTCACTTTATAGCAGCTCTTATGAATGATGAACAACCTTCTAGACGTGTTTTTGCAGCCCCAAGAGCTTCATTAAGTTCTTGAACATCATCGTCATCTTCCATGTTACTAGGCAGTGGCACCTTCGGAAACACATTATAGATTTTCCTGACACGGTCTAAAATACACATTTTGTTATAATCACAACAAAAGAAATAGCAGAACCAAATTAACTAAACAGCTATATATAAAATAAGATAATCAACTATATGTTATTTTTCCATATCAAAGGCACCCAAGTCATTAGAATAAGGGAGCGTTCGTAAACCATTATCATAATTTGTGCTGATAAGAAAATCAAACTATAACTCTATAACACAATGCATGTACTGACCAAGGATATCTTCGCAATATGGAATTTTCCCTTTGACAAGTGCATCAACAAACAAAACTGCAAGCTCTGCCCCACAATAACCTGAAAAAATTTCACTCTGGTGACTTCCATGCAACGGCGATGAAGTAAAGGAAAAAAAATTAAGAAAAGCAGCCAACAAGGTCCTCATGCAGGTTTCATCACCTCTATTTCCACAACAGCACAATCATTTTAAGTAATTATAAAGTAAAAATGTAAAATCCAATCAAATTTATCAAATCAACATTCTTAACGTCTTTCTCATAGAGTATTGGCCTCCAGTAGATTGCTGATATATCTAGCCTTTGCTATACTAACTTGCATCATTCTTACATCCTATCATATTTGACTAGGAGGAAGGCCAACCATGCATGTAAAGTGTATTAATCATGAAATATTACAATTTCTGTATTGATGTCATCTTATATTTGTTCAAATCTTAAAAAAAACAAAATTCTAAGCCGATGATTGTGGTCGGGTTTATCGACAATCTTAGTAGAAGGGCCTCCCATCGTACGCTTAGGGAATTATTCTTAGTCCATGGTCCTGTTATGAGAGTTTTTATTCCAAGCCAAACTAGAAATCCGAAATACAGATTTTCCACTTTGCTTTTGTTCATTTAAGAGGGAGGAAGATCTGAAGAGGGTTGTTGATGAGTTTAACGGGATTGTGATTGATGGAAGGAAGATCTCAGTTAGTCCTGCCAGATTTAAGGATGAACATTCAAGGTCAAGGGTGTGCTTTCTTCTTCAAACAAGGTTGCTGGTCAGATTAATGCAGAATCTTCAAAATCAAGAGAAAGAGAAAACATTAATAGAAGCAGAAGGGATGATAGAACTTATAGGGATGCTCTGTTGTCTAATGGGAATAGAAGGGGGAACAATGATCTATTGTCTGAGGATATCCAGAGGAGGAATGTCAAGAAAAATATATCTGAGATGCATATCCCATCAGAAAGTGCCAACTGGGTGAAGAGGTCGTTAACAGGGATTATCAAATACTCTTTTCAAGTTGAGTTCATTCGGAATGCATTATTAAAAGAAGGCTATGATGTTCAAATTGCTAGATGGAGCTATGTCTGGAATTCTCGTGTGATAGTTCTTAAATCTCATGAGGAGATGCTGGAGTTATGGAGCAAAAAAGGAAGAGGTTTTAAAACAGTGGTTGAGCGAGTGGAAACTTTACTGAATGAAACCGGGGTACCAATGGCCTTTTGCATGGTAGAATTAAAAGGGGTTCCTTGTTATGCTGGAATGAACCTTCTTCGAGAAGTTGGCTGGTAGATGGGGCAGTGTGGTAGATATTCATGATAGTACAAGGAAAAGAGAAGACCTCACAATGGCAAGAATTTTATTGAAGGTGGAAAGTCCCTTTGATGTTCCAGAGGTGATTACTCTTGGATCGTATGGAAGATCATTCAAAGTAAGTATCAAGATTGGATCAGCTAGTGAGTATTCTAGTTCGTTTTTCAGTAATTTTCCGGTGGAGGATTCCGACGAGATATTTTTGAAGAGAGTATGTCTGAGAAGGATGAAGACAGATTGTTGTCAGTTCATGGGGAAGGTGAGACTTGCGCAGCAGGGAAAAATCGTCTGTCAGTGGACAATTGGATTGACAAGGGAGTGTTTCGTGTTTCTGGAGGAGCTAGTGAGGACAGACAGCTAGCAAGACTTTCCTTAGATAGGAAAGATATTAAATGTGGTTTGTCAGAAAGTCAGACTGTTGGGAATTTTAAAGTTGGTGAGTATGCAGGTTTGGGGATTAGAAGTCAAAATTATTCGGCTGATGGATCTCAGGCCCATTCTGAAGACTCTGGGTAGTCTGGGTCAAAATACTTTCGGGTTTCATTTCTAGGCCAGCATTTACAATTAATAAGTTTGGGGAATTGGTTGAAAACCTTCATTTATCAGGAAAAAACAGGGGAGTGTCCAATGTATTGGAGACGAGCCCAATTGTAGAGAAGTCATTTAGTGCAGAAATAGAGCCCGAAGAAGAAAATTTAAGACCGATGGAACTGGTTTCAACTAACAACTCAAGGGGGAGGCAGTTACATTGCTCTAGAAGAAAGTTCACAACAGAGAGTAATGTGCTGGAAACTAGAAGTCTGAGCAGTTGCAAAAGGGTATACAACAGGTCGAGGGAAAGAAGATACTGGTATGGGGATTTGTTGAACATCTTGTCTGAAACAGGGGGTACCATAGTTTAAGCAGAGGGAGCTAGATGTGATTCCAGTACTAAAAAATAAGCTCCGTTTATCAGCAGAGAACATTGATGATGGGAGTCTTTTTCCTTATCTTGACAATGGATCTGGGGGTGGGAGCGTAGAGAGGGAGATTGAAGGTTACTTTTCAGAAGGTGATTGCTTAAAGTCCAATTCTGGTTTGTTGATCAGAAGGATGAGAACAACTAAAAGGATCCTGTATCGAGAAGCCCTTGACCAGGTGAGCATTGATACAACATCCTTCTCAGCTTTTTCGATTCTATTGAAAGAAGCGGTAGAAACTTGGGAGGTTAGCAAGCTTTTGGGTGTGTCTTTTAAGGAAGGGAAAGAAGCCTTTTTGGAAAAAATCATAGCTTTAGAGAAAGGCGTGTGGGATTAATAAAGGTTTGGTTGATTGAGGGTTGTGTCTGCACCTATTTCCTTTTATGAAGATGACAAAGTTAGTAATATGTTCATGGAATGTTAGGGGCTTGGGGAAAAAACGAAAAAAAGAGGGTTGTTCAGAATTTAGTCACCAACTTTAATCCTACTTTTCTTTGGCTGCAAGAAACTAAGACTGAGAAATTTAGAAGGTCTTTTTTTAGGAGAAGTGGAATTAATAAGCTAAAAGGAATTTTGGAATCTCCTTCAGTTGGATCAGCGGGGGGCCCTGTTGTGTTGTTGGGATGACAATGTTTTTGAGCTGGAGAGTCAGTTTATTAGCAGGAGATTTATAGCTACTTTCGGTAAATTTCAGAGTAATAATTCCAGGTGTGGTTTCATCAATGTTTACGGTCCAGCAGTGGAGGAGGAGAAATCTGGTTTTTTTGAAGAATTAAGCAGTTTTCTTAGTGGACAGAATTATCCCGTTTGTGTGGGAGGGGATTTCAATGTCTATTTACAAGAGATGAGAAAATGGGAAGGGGTCAAAGTAGGAGTTCAATGGAGATCTTTAATGATTTCATTCTTCATACGGGCTTGATTGATCTCACTATGAATGGGGGTAGGTTCACTTGGTGTAATAACCAAGAGAATCCCACTTTTGTAAGATTGGACCGTTTTTGGTTGTCGCTTTCAAGAGTTGTTTCCGGGCATTTTGCAGTCTCTTCTACCAAGATCTTTGTCAGATCATAATGCTATAGTTTGGAGAATAAAGGAGTGGAACTGGGGTAGAAAATCGTTTAGATTATTCAATTATTTGATGGATGAGGGGGTTTGAGGATCTGGTTGTTCTTCTATTCAGAGTGGTAAGGATAGTCAGAAGAAGGCAGGCGTTTTTAGTCTGATGAGGAACACCAAACATGCAATTAAGAAGTGGTCTGGAACAGAGATAAGTATCCAGGAGCTTTGATTTCTGAGTTAGAGAAGAAAATTTCGTTGATAAAGGATGATTCAACAGAAGCAAGGAATGCTCTACTAAATACTTCCATTCGTTGAAAAATTTTAGAGCAGAATTGTGGAAGCTTCACAAGATTCAGGAGCAGATCTGGTTTCAATACTCGACTAATTGGATTGTAGATGGGGATCGCAATACTAAATACTTCCATTCTTGTGCTACGATTAGGAATAAAAGGAATGCTCTACTTGCTTTAAATTTCAAAGGGGAAACAGTTAAAGATCCAACTGCAATTAAGGCCATAGTTAAAGAGTATTTTTTTAAGATCTATAATGAACGAACTACGTTAGAAATTGATGATTTGAATCTAGATTTTCCCAGAATTTATTTGGGAGCAGAATCAGTTCTTAGAGCAGGAGTTTCTGAGGAGGAAGTTTGGGATGTTGTGAACTCTTGTGGTAGTAACAAAGCTCCGGGTCCTGATGGCTTTAATCTGGGATTTTTCAAGAGGTTTTGGCAAGTCCTTAAGGTAGATATTATGAAATTCTTTCATAATTTTTACTTGGGGAAGGAATGGGAACATGGAGTAAATCACACATTCATCACTCTTATTCCTAAGATTTCAAACATTGGTGGTCGGACGATTTTAGATCTATAAGCCTAGTTGGTGGATTGTATAAGATACTCTCTAAATGTCTGTCAAGAAGATTTAGGAGTTGCATTTCAGATTTGATCAGTCCAAGTCAATTCGCTTTTATCCTCGGTCGGCAAATCCTGGACTGTTTCTTATAGCCAATGAAGGGATTGACTTTTGGAGGAAGAATGGTTTAAAAGGTTGTGTTTTTAAGGCTGATTTAAAGAAGGCTATGATACTCTTGACTGGCCTATTTTGTTCAGAATAATGAAGGAAATGGGCTTTGGTTCTAGATGGATAGGTTGGATTTCGAAATGTATCACATCAGCAACTGTTTCAGTTTTGGTGAACGGGGTCCCTACCGAGGAAATTCCAATGGCGAGGGGTCTTCGGCAGGCTGTTCCTTGTCTCCATTATGTTCAATATAGTTGGGGAACTCTTGAATCTATTAATACTGAAGGCTTTTCAGGGGGCTTTTTTCGGGTTTGGTCATTAGAAAAGAGGAGAGGAATTTTAATTTAACTCATTTGCAATTTGCGACTTATTATGTTCTGTGGGGCGTCGAAAAACAGATCTTGAATGTAAAGAGGGTGCTTCGGGTGTTTGAGATATTTATGGTCTTCAGTTGAATTTAAAGAAGTGTAAATTATTTGGGGTGAACTTAAAGGAAGAGGAAATTAAGGATTGGGCAGCTATGATTGGATGTTCAGTGGGCTCTTTTCCCTCAGAATATTTGGGACTCCCTCTAGGTCCACATAGGAACTCCAACATTCTATGGGATCCAGTGGTTCAAAGCTTTAATAAGAGGTTAGCGGGCTGGAAAGCTCCTCTCTGTCACTGGCAGGCAGGCTAGCTCTAATTAAATCAGTTCTAAGCTCACCCTATATACTTTTTGTCAATGTTCAAGGTTCCAGCTTCAGTTTACAAGACTCTAAATTCTATTATGTCAAATTTTTTATGGGGTGGTGGAGATGGGAAAAAGAAGATCCATTGGGTAAGCTGGTCCGACGTTTGTAAACCAAAAATTGAAAGAGGCTTGGGGTTCCTAATTTAAATGTGGTGAATAGGGCACTTTTGGAAAAGTGGGCTTGGAGGTTTGCTATTGAGGGGAGGCGGTTTGGAGGGAAATGCTCTGCATCAAATATAAATTGGACCCTTCATTGATGCAGTTCGACAGTAAAGTTTCTCCTAAATTTTCTTGGATGTGGAGAGATATGGGTGAGTAATCATTATAAAGCTGATTCGTTGGGCTGTAGTATCAGAGGTAAATATAGCTATAAAATTGGCAATGGGAGGAACATTGTTTTGGCAAGACAATTGGGCAATGGATCCTTTGATGGTATTGTTCCCTAGACTATTTCTATTGCAGTGAATAAAGCAGAAGATTATTTCAGTTTGGGGAGTTCAGTTAGGGGTTGGATTGGAACGTTCAGCTGAGGAGAGAGTTGAATGACTGGGAATTTGAGCAATGGGCGAATTTGATGGCTGTTATCTCTGATTTTCTATTTCATCTGATGCCGCTAATGGACTTTTGGAAGGGGACGGAGAAGGGGTTTTCACTGTGAAATCATGTGTCAAACTATCTTATTCGGGTTCCCCGATTCGGAGGAAGCTAAATTTGGAAGTCTAATGTTTGGAGGGGTCTGTTGCCTCCAAGAATAGAGACTTTTCTTTGGCAAGTTATCTTAAAGAAGTTGGCAGTGAAGACAGCTCTGGTTAAAAGAGGTGTTCAGGGCATAAATGATACTTTGTGCTCTTTTTGTAATCTAGAAGAAGAGTCTTCATCGCATTTATTTTTTATGTTCGGTTGTTTGGCCAATTTGGATGAAATTCTTGGGCTATTGGAATTTCAGTCTGTTTTCATGCAGATGCTAAAAGATTCCTATTGGCTTAGAATGACTTGAAGACCAACTCTCTTATGGTCATTATACCTGGAGCTGTTTATGGACAATTTGGAAGACCAGGAATTTTATAGTGTTTGAAGGAGGGAAGCTTGATCGAGAGAGAGATTTCTTTCTAGCAAGGTGCAGGCTTGCTTCATGGTTTCTAGCTAAGGCAACTCATATTACTATTTCCAAGGATGATCTTATTGCTGACCCTTCCTTAGTGGATTCCTACGTCCATTCTAATCGGATTTCAACCATGTTTCCTTGGTCCCTCCTCCAAAAGGTTTATTAAACTTAATGTGGATGCGGCTACTTCGAGTGATTGGAAGGGGAGTGGTTTAGGTGGTATTTTGAAAGACATGTCTGGTTCGATTCTTGGCTCCTTCAAAGAGCCTGTTGGTTGGGCCCCCAACTTTAATGGAATTGAAGGCTATCCTAAAGGGTTTAGATTTTATGAATCTATTTGTCATAGGTTTAAAGAGAGATTGATTATTGAGAGTGATAGTAAGGTGGCAGTTGGTTGGGTTAAGGATGTGGTCTCTTGTCCTGTGTTTATGTTCAATTGTTAAAGACATTATTCAAAAGCTTAGTGTTATGTAGGTTTTATTAGTGGGTTAGTAGGACAGCCAAATAGAGGCGGATGTCCTAGCTAAGGTTGGTTGGTTGAATATGTTCTGTTAAGGGCTGTTTTTCTGGTTTTGTATCTTGAGGGAGATTAGTTTGTATTACTTTGTTATATTTGAGTTTAATGAAATCTAGGCACTCTTTTCCTCCTTGTGTGGTTAAGGAGCTATTTTTAAGTTCCGTTAATCACGAAAGGGGTTTTATTGAGGCCTTCTATTCCTATAAAAAAAATGATTGTCCCAAGGAAATAAAACAAAATACAGTAGTATCCATTATCCAATCATCAATTCATCCTGGGACCAAATTTCAAACAATCTATGTCAACAACATAATGCTTTTGCACAAAGCATTAAGGAAAAAGGAAAAAGAACTTGACTGACAAGCTCTGAAACAATATCACTGAAAGGGAAAATAATAACCTGGCCATGCTTCAACTGGAGGCATGCACCTGACTCAAGCAAATCCAAGGCCTCAGAATATCTTTCAGCAGATACATACTGAAATAAAACATGCATGTTTTGAAATGAATGTCAAGTCTTCCGAAGTAAACAAAAGTTCAAACATGGTAATCATTCTTAAATTTGTCCCAACTGAAAAATTCGTAAAAAGAAAACAAAGGAACAAAACATTAAGTCATATTACTGGCTCCCTTAACAACTAAGATAGAAATCCAAAGCAAAGTTGAAAACAAAGAATGCCACTAGCAGAGTCCCATAATCTACTCAAGCATACAAGCCTTTAATCCAACCATAAGGGGATATGTGCCATTAAGCCCCATCTAAGACTCTAAGCACAGGTAATGCCTATGTTGCTTAGGCTCTTCATTTTTTTTTCTGGTGAAGTCCCCTTGCTTGACATGTATAATAGGCACGGCTTTCCAACCCTACATGCTTCCGGGCAACAGAGACTAATATCTGTCTAGATATTTGAAACTCTAAAAGAACATAAATTTGAGAATTGCAGATAGTCATACCGTGCACTTATAGATTTGTACATCTGCTGAGCCCCATAGAAATTACCCTCATTTATAGCTTTCTCTAACTTATTAATATTCTGCATTTCATATCAAAAGAAAAAATTAAATCAATAAGAAATTATCATTCACCATAAAAATAAAGCACAATCACACTTAAATAAAACTACAATTTATCATTTTACTCCTGATTGAAAAGCAAGGGTTGTTTCTTTCAAAGAAAAAACTTAAACATGTAAATACTACAAACTAATAGCTAAAAATATCAAAAGGTTTCAAATTTCACTCTTTTTAATGAAACATTCCATTCCTCCAGCATCCAGCACCCCTATTTTCTCAGCAACCAAACAAATTGGAAAAAATACATAAATGTTAAAATATTTCCAAATTATCAATTTGTTCTTCCCCCCAGATTTCAACGAAATAAATGATGGGTATTTCCATTTTTCACTAAAATATTTTTTTTTTTGAAAATAAAAACACAAAAGTAATAGAAATAGAAAATGAATACCTCCTGAACAGGAGGGAGTGTGGCTCTTCGGAGTTTCTCTCTTGACATTTTCCCTCGATTTCCTCTTTCACTTCTTCTATGGATATAAAGTACTGAGTTTTCTTTATTATTTAAGAAAGATCTGGTTTCTATTGTTTTTCTACTTCGTTCGACATCTTCGAATTCATAAACACAAGAGAATCCAGACAAGTCGAAATGGGCTGGGCCTTTTTCAACAAATGGCATGGGCTTTTTTATCTTTTTATTCTTTCATAGGTGAAATAAAAAAAACCGTAAATTTCAAATAAAATATAAATAATAAAGCAGTAAAGAATTTTTTTTAAAGCTCTCGTCTAACGGAGGTAATTCCTTATCTCCACTTGGGAACTTCATTATTGGTTTCTTCTTTCATGTTTTGTGTTAATCTTTAGTTTAGGCCATTTCAATTTCTGGGTTTGTTTTAAAAGTGAAATTGGTGAAGAGTAGATCTCAACCAGACTTGTTAACTTATTCGTACTGTTCGATAAAATGCCTGAGAGAGAGTGTTAACATCGCTTAATGTTGACATTGTGAACCCCCCCCCCCCAACAAACAAAAAATAAATAAAAATTAAAGGGCTCGACAATGGGTTCTCAGCAAGCTTTGAAAGCATTCAAAGCATATCGTGATCTTCTCAAAGCAGTGAAAAAGCATTGGAAAAGAAGAGTATAAGAAGCATTTTAGCGAGTATAAACTGAACAATTCAGAAAGAACAGTCAACTTTCAGACCCTTCCTTGGTTTCCCAAAGGATCCAGCTTCCCAATAATTATACGTATTTACTTAACTGTGTGCATCATCACAAGGTAATTGCTATCCTTCCATGATATGCTTAAACTCCCTCTGATTGTTGCTATTTTTCACGTTTCTTTAGAATTCTTAAAAGTGTGTATACGTAATAGAAACTCATTTTATTAATTTATTTCAAATTATTGAAAGATATGTTTATACTTGTATTGAAATGCCCTATCGCTTCTTGATTCAAAATAAAATTAAAACTGGAAAACCAGAAATCAAAAGGATTCTAAATCTACTAGTTTAGCATTGTTTGTTGCTTGTTGGACCTATGCTAGGTGGACTCGGTTGTATGTGTGGGATATGAGCTTTGTGCCACTTAGTTGTGTGACCCAAATTCTTTTTGATCGAACCCAAGATGGTTAGGAAGAAACTCACTTAAATTATAAGTTAAATACGTATAGAACTCTACTTTCCCTTTGCACGCTGATGAAGAATAGGAGAATAAATTTGAGTAGATTTCTTTCTATGCAAGTTTACTTTATAAACCCTAAACTTATCCCTATGAATAGATATTAGGATTAGGGTTAAGATGTAAGTTGATTAAACCCTAAATCACGAGACAGAGATCTTCTTGTACTCTTTTTTGACATGGTGAATTTTCTGTTCTTCTGTCCGTGGTTTTTTCCGAAAGGATTTTTCCACGTTAAATCTTGGTGATATTTATTTTGTGATTATTTTACATTTGTTATTATCATGCTTACATTATTACAGTCCTAACACGGGAATCTTCAATCATTTCAAAAGTTTTTCTTGGGATGGTTCTTGGAAGACCATATCCAACATTTGGATACATTTGATGGGAATGTGGCATGGTTTCTCTAAGACGTGGATATATACACGGCTTTCTTTTCATCCAAGGATTAATAGAAGGCTTTAAGATGCTGTCATTGATTTCTCTATTATATTAGTTATGGTTTACTGTTCTCTTATCCTTCCTGTATGGACTATGGTATTTATATACTTCCATGTTACCAGCAAGCGCATCATTTTTGTACTTCTAAATGGAAGACTTTTTCTAGAAGAAACAAATGTGATTTTCTTCGCGTTTTGTTATTTATTTGGCAGGAATTATTGTTCACTTACAACATTGCGGTAGATAGGTCGGATGAAATGAAAAGAGTATTTGGAAAATCAGCTGCAAGTTTTGGTCTTAAGCTTCCTGAGGTGTATCAGCTTTGATATCAGTGGATGATAATTTTCTTCGTCTTCTTCGTCTAGTGGAGAATAATATTGCCTCCATTCTATAAATATCGGATATTCAATTCAAGTAGAACTGATTGAAATCCTGGTTGTTGATTTGTTTTCGTATGATGTTTGATTGAACTTGTTAATGCTGCTTGCGACTTTAAGAGGTAACGAGAAACCGTCTGGTTTCATATGTCGACGATTTGAGGCCAAGGGGTAGGGAGACAGTTATCTGTTTTTCATATGTTAGTTTCTATGCGACAAGTTGGTTTTTTATCTTATCCAAGATGTTCTGCACGATGTGTTGTAACTCGAAACTGTTGATAATAATGAGTTGTCCATTGGGAGCACGTTTGTTGTGTTTTGCGTTTGGCATCCGTATGCTTCGACAGGAATGTTCATATTGTGGTTATTTTGTCAACATCAGTATCATGAGCTTTGTAGGTTTTAGAACACACCATAACATGATAGAAAGCATTCTTACCAACAGAAATCAGCTACAAGCGTATTTGTTTCGCAGATCGAACCGAATTAACCGGTTTGTTTCCCTGGGAATATCCACGCCTACCATTTTTTCTAGCACCATATTTGCTCAACTAGAATGTGGTAAACATTTACTTGTAAATATTATTTTCGAAATCGATAATTAAACCGAATTAACCGTGGATTAATCATGAGTTGGACAACAAGTATTTGAATAAAGTCCAACACAATCCAATTGGTTGACACATAGACCCCATATATCACGAGTTGGACTAGTGGCATTTGAATAAAGCCCAAAATAAGTAGATCGAACCGGTCGGGTAAAATCTTCAAATTCCAATTTTGTCCATCACGAAGAGTCGAAATTTCTCATTTAAATATCATTTCATCTCGCTAACGAGAAGCAGCAGCCATTCTTATCAGTCATCACCTAGAACTTGGAGGAAAAAGAATTGCTTTTGGGAAGCGTTAGAGTGCGAGAAAAATGAGCGGAACAGGGAAGAAGTAGTCGATGTGGCTTTCAAAGCGTCAAAGAACATTGATTGGGAAGGGATGGCGAAGCTTTTGGTCTCCGATGAGGCTTGCAAAGAGTTCGCCACTATTCGTCGCACTTTTGATGAAGTTAACTCCACTTTGCAGACCAAATTCAGCCAGGTTAGGGTTCTCTTTTTCTAATATCAGATTCCTTTTTTTGGCCTTTTGAATTAAATGGATTAATTTATATTAGATCTTCAGGGTTTTGATGGATTTTTTGGTAATTTTAATATATTTTATTGAAAGATAATTGTTTTTGAAGACTTTTTTTTGTCATTAGGTTGATTATTCATTTTGTGCTTGGGTAATATTCTTACAACTGTGAATCCTAACTTGGTAATAATCTGATTTTGTTAAGCAGGAACCTGAACCTATTGATTGAGAATATTATAGAAAAGGAATCGTCTCACGCTTGGTAGATATGTACAAAGAGGCTTATGAAAGTAAGTTTATTTGATGATTGTTATGTTTTGGGTTTATTTTCTGTTCTCTTAATGCTTGGATCTGCTGTAGGTTCTTAAAAGCATAAATGGGTACATGCCTCGTATTTGAGGTCGTCCCATGGTTGCAGCTTCCTCAATTTGTGCTTTGGATTCACTTTTGCTTAAACTCTTTCGTTTCATTGTTTGGGGTGAAAAACTAGGGAAGGGGAATTGAATTTGACAGCCGTTCTTTGATTGCAGATATCTTTCATCTTTCTTAGACAATTTCCAACTTTGCATTGATTATCTAAAAGCTAAGACAGAACCAATTGCCAAATAAGGATGATGCATTTATGGTTGTTATACAATTTGCTCAGGAAGTTCTTAAATTTGATTCTCTTGTAAAATGCTGCAATGGTTTTTGGAACATGCCATGCGTAGATCTTTCATTTCATACTAATACTATGGTAATCAGATTCTCCAGATTAACCGAGACTCTCATTATTCTGTGCTTTGGATGTTTGATATAAGATGAAGTTCAATCTGGCCTTTTTTTATAAAGGAAAATGGTTTGCTCAAATCACTGAACCAAAAGACTTTCAAATTTCTTACAGTAAGATGTCCCCTGATCACCGCCTAGCAATTAACCATATTAATGAGGCTCCAATTTCAAAGCTTCCTTGGCATATTGGTTGGGTATAACTTATTAAATAGTGTAGTTTCTTTGCCTTGATTATATCATTTTTTGGAGCTGTATTGTTTATGTGTGTATTTTGAGGGTTTTGTATTCATTGTTCTCTTTTTGCCTACATTGAATTTCATCTTCTTTACACCTTTTATATGCTGTGAAGGTGTTGAGATCCCCAAGTTTGTTGACACAGCCACTCCTCAATACAAACCAAAATTTGATGCCTTGGTGATTACTATGGAGATGCTTGACCCGCTTTTAACTTTGTCTTAGGTTTTTTTTTGTATGTGATATGTGTATTTACTTGTGTTTACAAGTTGGTTGAATTGAAAAGAAGAGAAATCTTTGAAAGAGTCTGAACGTTTGGAGAAAGAAATTGCTGAGGTACAAGAACTAAAGGTAATCGCAAACTGCTCCCCTAATGAATGCTTCTTTATTGTAACTGTAGACTGTGGTTGCAATTGTTGATTTTATTTTTTAAATTATCCTTTATTTGAACAGCAAAAGATTAGCACCATGACAGCGGACGAGTACTTCGAGAAACACCCCGAGCTGAAAAAGAAATTTGATGATGAAATCCGGAACGACAACTGAGGCTATTGAGACATCTTTGGTAATATGAGTCAAGAAAACAGTCGGTTGAACTTTGTTTCTTCTTCCGTTTTACACCAAATGATGATTACCAAAACCCTCATTTTGTGTTGATTTGGTTGATCTTTTTGTTGGAAATGTTGGGATCCAATAATAATCCACTTGAGAACTAAAGTGGATATTGTAAGACGCGTTTTCATTCAAGTTGCATCCATTTCCATGGGCAACATTCTTTCATCTGTCTTATTTCCGATCAAATAAATCCTGATTATAAACAAACTTAATCAACCGAACCACATATTTTACTGGAACTTTGGACTGAACTTTGTTTGTAACTAGAGCTCAACTTCAACGATTATTCCTCAACTGACAAAAGAACGTTTACTACAAATTAATGTACAAGAGAGATGGAAACTGTATTCA